GCTGTTTAGTTAGATTTTGTTCATGTTTGCCTGTTGTATAGGAAAGTGCTGAAAAAAGGTTAAATCTCTACTAATAGTGATGGAATTAAAATTGCTTCCTGTACTCATGTTTGACAGTTGAATTTATTCTGGCTATGCCTCCAGAAGTGAGAATTCAGAGCTGTTTAAATAACATCAAAGTAATTGTCTGGTTGTTGTGGAGCTTTTTTCTCTCTTTACAAAAGTAGGAATGTGCGTTTTCAGTACTTTGGAGGGGAAGCATAGGAGAGAGTATTAATTCTGAAATATTTGCACAGGTTTAACTTGGTAGTAACTTTCATAAAAAAAAAAAAAGATGTGTTTTCATGTTTTTTTTCATAAACCCCTTTTTCTGCTGAGTCAAGAAAGCAGTGAGGTCATGGTGGGTGCATGAGAACTGACCTGAATGTTAATAGAGCTAACTACATGCCTTGGTGTTTCCTTAAATGAAAGCACCCTTAGCTAGGCAGGATGTTTTTCTCTTTTTCTGTTTTGCAACAAACATCTGATAAGATATCTTCTTCAATAACACAAACTGTGCACCATCTTTTCTGAAAAATGTACTCCTGCGTTAGCATTACCTGTAATTGCTGTCACAGCAGTCCCTACCTACGTAGTCTTGTTGAAAAGACACTGCATTTTCCTAGCTTGTTTTGAAGGGTGAAAGCTCTGGTTTTCACTCAGCATTGAAAATAACATGTAAATTTGCCTTTCCAAATGTGAAGTTATTGTGGAAGTATTACACGACTGCCTCAGTTCTTGAGTGCTCCTTGAAATACTGAATTTACTTTGTAAGCTCTTTGGGACAGAAACCCTCATTTCGCCTTGCCTTTGGGCAGCGCTTAGCCCAGTGGCAACGGTAATCTGGGTCCCGGTGCAAGCTGATACAAATCATTTTACAGATAAGTTGGAACACCAGCTCTCAGTTACGTCTTTCTAGTACTGTGTGCTGAATATTGCTGTGTACATAACTGTGTAACCTCTGAAAACTTAGTTTTGGAACTGAGCATCCTCCGTTCAGGAATAATGTGGAATATTGTATTTTCTAAGATAAAATGTAATACTTGTGTTTCACTCTTGAGGCAATGTGCAAATAGGGACGGACATTGCAAGGTGTATTTGTGAGGAAAACAAGAGGGTCCCTCTAGTTTTGTGTCCATCACTCTGAAAAACAATTGTGGTCCATAGCAAATTCCTATTATCATCCACAAGTGCAAGTCTGCCCTACAAGGATGTCACTATTCCATCTCCAGCTTTGGAAGAGCTGAGTGGAGGGGAGCAGGCTACGTTCCTACAGACTAGGGCTATATATGCTAAAGGATTCTGTTCTGAACTCTAGGGAGGCTGTCTCGGTCTACACCAACACAACCAAGCCTGGGATGTTCAGATTCCTGAACACGCTTGGGTGCACCAGGGTGTAGTGAGTGGGAGCCTACTCCCGATGTTCAGTGAATAGGGGAAGTTAGATACTAGCTCTAGTATGTCCGTTGGAAGTGAGGAGATACCAAAGCCAGCTACTAGGGTACATGGAAATGGGAGGCATCTCTCAGAACTCATTTGTCTGGAAATTGGATACCAATTGCAGCTGTGATAAAAGCATGTCTGCGAGACTCACGGGGTAACCTGTGGCCGTTTAAGTCATAGCTTAAATTCTTTCCTTTGTTCTGCTGCCTTAGATCAGACTGTGCAGTCTGATCGGGTTTACTCTTCTCTTTGAAAATATAGCCAGAAGAGGCAGTAGTTTCAGTGATAATTGTGTTTTGTGAGGTAGCTTAATAGTTGCTTATCTAGAAAGTGAGACAGTGTTGCACGTTTTACTTAGCCTGAGGTTTAAACCCATATTCCTGTGACTGTGGAGGAAGAAACTAACTAAGCTGGCTGGGAAGGTGCTAAACTACTCCTTTCCTTTTGAGTTTAAGACATGGTACAGCAAAGAGGCGATGTGAGAAGAAGGAAGAGAGGGACTGTTATTTTTGGCCAGTAAGGACAAAATCTTAGGCTTTGATTCTTCTCCAGACATGACTTAGGCATTGAGAGTTAAGGACTGGGGAATAGAGAACACAGTGATACTGTGAGCAGGGACTTGGAAACAGGCTGTGTATCCATCCTAGGTTGTTTATCGCATACCAAGTATGAAATGAACATGATCTAAGTAGGAAATAGTAACAAATAATACGGTGAGCAAAAGGATTTAGAAGACTGATGTAGATTTCAAGCTAACAAAACAAGAAAAAAAAGCCTGCTTTCTAGCTTGAAGGGTTAGTGTTCCAGGGAAGGGGATGCGGCGCAGGGCAGCATCCTGAGTTTAGAAACTCATTGCGTCTGATGTCACACAGATCTGTCTCTGTCTATAGGATCATTCTGGGCTAAGGTTTGTATTCTTTATCCTCTTCCTCAAATAATTTTCTTTTCAAATGCTGGTCAATGCATTATGTTACGCAAATGGAGATTTTTTCTTCAAACCTCTTGTCCTCAAACACACATATTTCCGTCCTGCCAATATGCATAGTCCTACAGAGTTCTCATCTGTACACCATCTGCTGATGATCCTACAGCATCTCATCACTTGTGCGATGCTGAACCTCAGACTCAATTCAGCCAGACACGGGCTGCAGGAGATGAATTTACGAGGAGCATGAGTTACAGTCAATTCAAATTCTTCTGACTGTGGTCTTCCTGTGTTAATTGCTGT